CAAAGATATCATGTGAAAGATTGACGTTCTCGTCGTTGATTTTGGTCGGCCCAGGGTTAAAACTCACTCCGTACAGATGAGCTGCGCTTAAGTGGAACTTTCTCGGTTCTTCATATGCGAGTTTGTTTTATTAATAGCCAAGGTTAAATGGTATTCATCTAAAAACTTACATTGATCTCATTCCTCGCCATCCTCTCTCCTCTTCTATATACACAAAAACAAATATCAACTTCTCAATATATTTGTTTATTCATTCATTCTTGTCATATGTCTTTCAAGTCAATAAATGTCGATTGGATTTTCGAATTGTTTTTTTCCACTTGACCTTTCCCCCAGAAAGAAAGATCGACATCCTGGGGAAAAAAATCGAAGTAGAAAAAATATGTAAGAAACGAAAAAGAAAATAGTTCATTCATTGAAATTGATATCTGAATATTAACAAATACTAAAGCATACTAACCAAGATAAAAATTTGTTTTACATGGTCAGGTTTGGAAAAAAAATTTATTTTACTAGCCAAATACCTATTCTACTGAAAGAGAAATGTAAAGTGTAATAGAAGTCCTCTTACGTCTCTATATTTTCTGTGTAAACGTTTTTAGCAAGACATCTATTTTCTAAAGAACTTTCTATAATTATGCTAAGTCAACTTGTTTTTTTATTCTATACATAGCTCTACAGAATTATCAGTCAGTTATGTGCCATGCATGATACACGCTTAGGCGATCATGTATCTTTCGATACATGACTGACGAGGCAGATTTTTTCCCCGCAGTGGGTTGCCATTTCTTTCTGCAGTAGACCAGTTGCCATCCAAGGCTAAAGAACCTGGTCTGTCCTGCTATTTACCCATAGCTGGGGGTAAAAGAAGAGAATTCATACCTTTCCCAAGGGTATCAGCACGGAAGTGAATATAATGGATTCAACTGGAATTCGAACTCGGCTCTCCAAGACCATAATAAAAATATTTAAATAATTTTCTAATGTTTGTACAGGTTGAAAATCGTTTATACGAAATTATTGGGACTGGAAGTGCTTAGGTTTTCAGATTTTTTTTCGGATTTTGGAACACAGGCTATTTAAATTGTATATAGCATCTATTTTAATATATTTTCTGTTTATACGTTATTTTTGTAGATATAATTTATTAAAATAAATGCTGTAGTTTTTTTTTTTTTAATTAATCATTATTAATTACATTTACCGAATTGAATGTTCAAGAAATTTCGTAGAAACTATGTGATTCTCCGACGGGTATCGAACCTGTAACCCCAATGAGAACCATCATTCGATATGATGTGCTGTCAACCATTCAACAAGAAGAAGCGTCTGATTAGCAAAGTTCAAATTACTGTTTTTAAGCAACAAATCTTCGACGATCTTTCCCGAACTATCATGTCTACTCACGAAATATAACTTAACATAAACAATGACAACATAATATGTTTATATTGTTTAATTAAAAAAAAACAAAAAAACAGAGCAAATGCTTAAATAAATTATATCTATAAAAACAACGTATTAACGGAAAATATATTAAAATAATTGTCGGATTTAATCCATTTCATAATATATAGCTCTATGAAATGAGACAGCATGGGAATGGAACCCAAGGTAAAACAAAAAACAAAAAAACGATGCATTTACATTTCATAACACAGCAGCTTATACATAGACCCTGAAGGTAGTTTTATATAAATAACATATATCCTGAAAGTAGTTTTATATAAAATTTATTAAATTTTGTGTACATATAGATGCAGGTAATGACTTTAGCCATGTAATGCTTACACGGATTTTTAAGTGGTGAATTTAAGACCTCACGTAAAAATAATGTTTTGTACTTTCTGTACGTGTACAAAAAACATAACCACTTCTTACAAAAATATATATAAATGCAGGACTTTTTGATACTTTGAATAATATTTTTACTGAGCACGAAACACTCCGTAAGTAATCCACGAATGAATGTGTTACTATGACTTATCGCTAGTATATATAAAAAAAAAAAACTGGCGCCAACGTACGCTACATAGATGGGCTGGGGAACCTCCATCTGGGACAGATGAGGTCACTTACAACAGCAGCACGTCACCTAGGAATCATTCCAGTGCTTTCTGAAATTTTCCATTTGTAGCAAGACATGTTAGCAACTGAAATATTTTCGGATTTTGAAAGCTTTCGGATTCTGGAAATTCGGACAAATAATGCCTAACCTGTAATAATAAATAAAAAATAATTCCTCAAACATTTTTTTTAATTAATTCTGAAGTTTTAAAAAAAGTTTAGGTTTAGATAATTCAGTAATTTTTTTCGGCTCCGTTTAGCTAATTTGTCGTAATGTAAAATGGCAGACGACAACAATGGATACGACGAACGCTGCAGGAAATAAAATTGCAACGTTGTCGAGTCGAAAATTGCAGAATTCAAGAGAAATTTTAATATTCAAAAATATTTACTGTATGTTCGTTTCTTAAAAATCATTCTTTTTAGAAGCCAAGATTATGCTTATTTTACGCCTTATTTAAATATACAGACTGATATTTTTACGACTAAATTTTGACAACGTAGATATAAATTCCTTCCATACAAACACAATGAATTAAAAAAAAATTATGAACAGAAAATTGCTAATATATAGCAAATTTTAACATTTGATTTATAGATAAATAACACAAATATTTATAAAAATACAGTTTTACAATTTGCTATGTAAATTAAAGAGTATTATGGAGTAATGGATAGCAGCATGGGATATGTATGAATCGTCTTCTCCTCCTCCTAGCTATGGGTAAATAGCAGGACAGGCCGGGTTCTATAACCTTGGATGGCAAATGGTCTTACCGCAGAAAGAAATGGCAGCCTGCTGTGGGAAAAAATCTGCTTCGTCGAAAGATACATGATCGCTTAAGCGTGTATCACGCATGGCACATAACTGATGTAAATTAAATGTTATCACTTATTTATATATATATATATATATATATATATATATATATATATATATATATATGTGTGTGTGTGTGTGTGTGTGTGTATGTGTATATTGGTGTATACGGAATAAATTCCAATAACCAACAATTACTATTCTTAAAAGGTGCTCAATACAGAGTAGAGCGAATATATATATATATATATATATATATATATATATATATATATATATATTATATATTTTATCTTTTGAATTTGTAGGTCTGATGAATTGGATCGTATTTACGATTCCAATGGAATAAATTATGACCATGGAATAGTGTTTAAGCCTTTTTATCATATATATATATATATATATATATATATATATATATATATGTCTTAGAACGAACCCGCTATTTGTTAGTGAGACGGGCCGTTCTATAAAACTGGTCTTCAAATGTAAGGTAGGAACTCAGACAAAATTCAACCCTACACGAATTTATACATAACTGAGTTTCTTTTAGCAAACTGGAAGATATTTTGCTGTTGATGCAACTGCTGTTGTTTTTCTTCAAATTTGATTGCATAAATGCCGTATTTGGCGACTTCCGTTCGATCCTAAGTCGCTTACTATTTATAGAAATGAAATAATAATCATTTGCAAATGCTGCTTGTTACGGAACTTGATAATTATTACTAAAGTATCGTCAGTGATATGCTCTTATGACTGAAAGAGAAGAGCACAGACAGATTGAAAACTTTTCTTGTATATTACTCTTAAGAAAATAGAAACTTAACAGTTGATAGACTTAGAGTTATCCCCCTTGGAGAGTTGTTTTCGTCAATATACTTGAAGGAGTTAAAAATTTCTTGAAAACACGTGACCAATTAGAGTTTATTTTCCAAGTTATAGCTTTTTAAAATATTGTGCTACCACAAATTGTACGACCAGGTCCCGTTTTTGTCCTGTTACGGTAACAAACTCCCAGTCACACAGAGGTAAATTGGATCGTTATAATAAAGATTTTTATGAGCATTTGAATGATATCGATCGATTACCAAAATAATGAAATTTGGGGTTTGTTTTTGTTTTTTTGCAGAGGCTTCAGGTTAAAATTAATTTCCTTTGAATTTGTGAGACGCTGTGTAACAATGAAAATAGACAATTACAACTCAAACCTCACTGTGTGTCTACATTTCTGACCTGATGAGAGAGATGGGAAAACTGGACACTTTGTAGTGGAGTAAGGTTATAGCGACCTAGTGTTGTAACGCGAACACAAGTCTGTTCCGCTCTAGATACCCCACTTTACTGCCATGTTCCATCCTGAATTATGCATGAGTTGCCGTGCAAGTGACTCATTAAACATATTACTACTGTAGTGAGTTTGGTTCCTGGACGCTCGATATTTGTAGCCTTAAAGTATGTGTGTTAAATGCGAACATCATGTTTTGCCGTGTAGTAGTGGTCTTGCAAACTAGAGGCTGTGAGTTGGAATTTAGTAAATGGTAATGGTAACACTGACCTTTTTTTCATAAGCAAACATTTGATCGAGCAACCATTACTATCGTCGATTGAAATGTATAAAATCTTTCTCTAGAAACAATGTTTCAGGAAAATATGTCACTGAAGTCCCGACGCTGTTATCGCTCTTTTCAATATTGATGGCGTTTCCTTCCTAACCTTTTGGTTGAAGTAATGCAGAATATCAGCATCTTCATGATGTTATTAATTTCTCTTTAATGATCTACACCAAGCTTATTAAATTCTGATAAATACCATCAGGCGCCTCCTGTAATGTTATAGTAAAAAAGCAGAAAATTTTCATTCAGTGTTCTTCTACATGATTATTATTATTATTATTATTATTATTAATAATAATAACACATGGATAGATAGATAAATTGATAGATAGGTATGCGAGGTGATTTAAGGATTACCAAGAAAGAATTTGGTAGATAATTTAACTTTCTATGACACTCCTTAACCACGACAATTGCCAGTCATAAATAAAAGTGTGATGGGTACTAGATGATTGTAACTTTTGCATACAACGAATTTTAAATTTGATTTCGATGTTCAGATTATCTGATCTTTGCATCGATTATTATTATTATTATTATTATTATTATTATTATTATTCTTTTCTTTCTTTCTTTCTTTCTTTCTTTCTTTCTTTCTTTCTTTCCAGCCTTCAATTTTACTTTATTTTTTTCTTGTAATTCAGTTTATTCCCTTAGTATTCTTTCTTTCATTTTAACCTCCATTTCATTTTCTTTCTTTTTTTCTTTCTTTCTTTCTTTCTTTCTTTCTTTCTTTCTAACCTTTATTGTTTACATTTTCTTTTTCATTAATTCAGTTTATTCCGTTTTGTTTGTTTCATTCATTTTAACGTTTATTTATAATGTATCTCTTTTTTATTAATTCAATGGGTTCTTTTTTTAGTTCCTTTTTCATTCTAACTTTCACTTTTTTCTTTCCTTTTTTCACTTATTTTGTACTTTTTTTATTCTTTTCTTTAATTCAATTTGTTGTTTTCCTTATGTCTTCCTTTTCATTTAAAATTCAATTCTTTTTCTATCTACTTATCTTTTGTGACGTACGGTGGCCGTTAATAATTAAGTATAACTCAAGATTTCAGTCTTAAAATAAATCAGTATTTAATTACAACCGCACGTAAATACTTAACAAGAACAAAGAAGTAAAAGTCAACCAAAGATAATTAACGATTTCTGTGACTATCTTGTTAGTAGCGCGGCTCGGCTTAACATACTTTAAATCCTAATTCAAAACCCAAATCATCGACGCACATTAATTCACACTAATTCGACTGGATAGTTCCACTTAATAATCACTCGATTATCACTCAATAATCACTCCAGTCAGTAGCCTGACACCGCTATTTATATTACTGGCGGAAAACATTTATGCATAAGTCCAGAGTGTCACGCTCGAACCTCGGTGTCGGTAGCTACTCATTTTCTTCCTATATGACTTGGGATCAAATACTGATCATATATGGATCAGATTGAACAGAAGCTGAATCCGATTCATATATGATCTGATATGGTAGGATAAAGAATAAATATGAAAGGTTTATAAAGCTAGCATATTTTGCTTTTGTTAAAGCTTCATGAAAAACAGGATATGGAAATAATTTGTTATTTTTATTTTTGTGTTGTTTGATTTTTATTGGTTAAGCAGACTTCACATGTATTTAAATTGTCAAGCAGCATTCGTGTTTCGTGAGCATATTTTATGCGTTTAAGTGTATCATAATTCTAGTGTGTCTGTGAGAGATTCGGTGTGATAACACACACACACACACACACACACACACACACACACACACACACACACACATATATATATATATATATCGTCATCTACAGACAGACTTTTTCGCTGTATCACAACTCATCAGTTTGGCTAGACATCCGATCGCTTCAAGCCCGATTTGGCGTCACTCGGAGATTTTAACCCCTAGGCTATCGGCAGAGAGAAAGCAAATTTTTGCGTATTTATTTTTTCATAAGCACGCCAGTGACCTAGAGGACTCAATCCGTTGGGAGAGTCTTGCATTATTAGCAGTAATAGTCACTGTTTACAAATTCGCGCTTTCTCCCCACAGTGCTCAATCGAATGTCTGTGTGTGTATGTGTGTTTATGTGTGTGTATGTGTTTGTTTCGAATAGGCATTATTTATGTTTGTTCACATGTTGATTTAAGGATGTTTTTCCGTCAGCACCAGTCTAAGTGGTAGTTAAATATACGTTAGATTCTTTAAAATTGGTCTAATAAAGTATCTATCTATCTATCTATCTATCTATCTATCTATCTATCTATCTATCTATCTCAGTCTGTTCATATCTATCTATCTATCTATCTATCTATCTATCTATCTATCTATACATACATACATTTCTTTCTTTTACTTGCAACTTTATTTTAAGGTCGATACGTATAAAATTTCGTCTCTTGTTTACTTTTAAAAAATGAATAAAATATAAATAAAATCAGTTTAAAAAAGGAAAAAAAAAGTAAACGAAAAGTAAATTAGCCAATCGTTGCAACTTCATTGAACACGTGACTAAAAACGCCGACGTTTGGCTTTGCAGAGACCGTAAGAAAAAGTTATATGCTATTAAATTGGACCTTCGAAAGTTTCAACTCTCGCGGCACTGAGAGAGAAATTAATTTTTCTTTTCTTCACAATCTGGTTTCCATGACAACGATCAATATCCTATGCAGTTGATCCTTTCGATATTAATATCTAAGTTAATTTGTAAAGAATAAACAAAAATAATAATCAAAAAACGGATGAAAATTGATCGAATGTCATCGCAAAGGTGAAAAATGTTTGAATTTCTTTAAACCTTGAAAACATTTTTTAAAATTTTGTTGATCTGTATGGCGTCCCGTATGACTAATGAAAAACCTCCGATCATAATAATTATAAGTGGCTCAAGTTAATGTTATAAATTGTTGCAAAATATTCTTGAATTATTTAAGAGGGAATAAAAATTTATTATAACATGTCTCTAATTTGTATTTAGATGCATTGTATTCATTTTAAACTTTTCTTGTTGAATTATTCACCTATATTACATATGGTCCAATCTTGTACATAATTTGGTTACAATAACATTTGTATTTTATACGAATATGAAAATTGATATGTAATAAATTGGGGATCCCGTACCATAGATTCTCGTATCATACCAGGAAATGTTTCTCGCCGGAGTCAATCCTTCAAATCTAAAAATCAACCATCGCCCTTGCGTGAAGTAATGCTGCCATATATGGTCTGGAGCCCCTTCTGTTTGTCTCAAGATCCTTAATAAAATCCAAACGCGGATATGCAATGTAACTGGCCCTGATCTGGCATCACGTCTGCAACCGGTCTCTCTCTGTCTTTTTTACAAATACTTTCTGCTCCGATGAGCTGCTTTCGCTGGTTCCCAGACTTCATGAATTTAAGGGTTCAACTAGGCTGGCATCTCGCTCTCACCCTTTCACTGATGAAAATGTTAAATGTAGCCGTCTCTTCTACTCCAATATCTTCATGTCCCGCACTTCTCGCCTGTGGAACTCTCTCCCCTTTTTTGTTTTCCTGATAGCTATAATCTCCAACTATTCAAATGTAACGTCAATTGACGTCTCCAGATGCCGTGATCTATCCCCTAACCTTCTCTTCATCCTTTCCTCTATCATTCCTATTTGCTTTAGCTCCAACTCTCTGTAAGCCCTTGCGTGCTAGTGGCTTCCCGCCTTGTTTGGGGTTGAATGCTTAAATATATATATATGAGGCCACGAGATCCTTGCACCGGCCTTCGGTATAATAATTCATCAAACTGAAGCCCGACTAATTTTTCCAGGGTCGAAAAAATGACGTGAGGTCTGGTGATGTTATGATGGAAGACAACACTCTTTCGATAGACTAATTTCGGACGCTTTTTACCAAGTGTTTCCTTTAATTGGTTTGATTTTGCGGACGGAAACACACACTACCGGAATACCTTGTCAATCACACCAGATACACATGATCCCCTTCGGACGCACACCGACTTTTCTTGGAGTAGCTAACAGTAGCTCCTTTCGTTTTACCCAGGACATTTTTTCGCTTCATGTTATTATAGGCAATTCATTTTCCATCGTCTGTGATTGTTGTTTTCAGAAATGGATCATTTTTGTTTGTTGTTCCCCACCCCGTTAAACGGTTTCAATTCATTTTTAAGGTTTCTCCAATATTATGTCGGGGTCACAAGTTGATGGGTGTTCTATGCGATAAAGGAATATTTTCTATTTTCTTTTCCCCCATTATGGGCATTATTATATCCATGCTATAGTAATACCTTAATACAAGAACGGATCAGAATAGCTGAAAATAAAGGAATGACAAATATGGTTTGTTCTCAAAGAGACATTTATACTGTTAAGTCATACACAAAATTAAATGTAAATATTTACATTGAACCCACACAGCGAAACTATAACACATGTATAGAACATCAAGTAATGTGAAAATGATGGAGAGATAAAGGGTCTTACTTGCAATAGTCCCCAACGGGAACTGAAGCTGCTTATTATTCCATAAGGAGAAGCCATATTTATATTTGCCAATGGAAATTCGTGCGGGTCGGGTTCATCTTCTGTGTCTCTGGCTAGGAAATATTTACAAAAAGGGAAAACGGCATTATGGTCTTGTGTCGCGTGGCAGCTGGCCCGGGAAGCAGGTTTAACGTTCCTGTCTTGAAAAAAATAACGAACGTTCGTGATTGACTTGCAGGCAGCTAACTAAATGACTGATCGCTTTCGTCACTCTATGAACTGACGTCACTCAGTGGCCGTCACATGACCCTCGGGAGATAATCGATTTTTGCATAGCTACACACGTATCAAAATGTTCTTAAATTCATTACAACGCCCACGTAAGCTATATGGAGTATCTCTGCGATGTCCCGTGTTGTGTGACCTGGGCTATTTTTAATTGGCTTTTCGACTGCAGACCTGCCGGAACGTTATCGGTTTTTCAGCTCAAGATTTCCTGTTTGGAAACTAGTGGACCACTTCCGAGTAGTACTCTCAGCTCTGGCACATGTCCTCTTTGCTGATTGTACAGTGTTTTATTTTCTTTTAAAGCGTATCACATGACAAAATGCCTTTCATTTTCTCCATTTTCTCTTTTAATGTAAAAAAAAACTAAATTTAAAACTCCACAGATATGGAAAGACACGTCAGAATGTTGCCTTTCAAAATACAGGGATCCCTCGATTAGTGCGGTTAAGATACGCACTAATCGAAAACGCATTAATTGAATTTAATAACTTATAAGAAATTATGTCATTTGTACATCAAATTTTAGTCTCATTCACAATTAATTTCTAATTATAGGTACATATAAGATACAATAAAAATGCTATGAAAATATAGTTACATATAAGAAGATGCAATAAGAATGCTATGAATTAATCTGATGTTTTATGAAAAATTATTTAGAGTGGTTTGCCGGTTGGTATTCTTCTATTCTTCATATAAATGGCGTTACTGAGAAATTAGCCTTTAAATTTTTCTGCAAATTTGTCGGCTTCTGTCTTTAAGGTCTGCTTCTAAACATTTTTCTTTAAATTCTTCAATGACCCTGAAAAATTCTTCTAATTCCTTCTTAGTCATCTTATGCTGGCGGTTAGGTAAAAATCTAAATATTTTATTCTTCTTAACCCTAGAACACTAACCATGTGTATATAGTACCCAGCACAAATTTTCCTATTTTTAATTACAATTTTCAGTACCTGATTTTCTTACCTAAATAATCTCTTTCAGTTCCTATTAATGTTAACTCAAAGTACAAAGTTTGAAGTGCCTGTATGCAAAATATTTCAAATAAAGATTTATATTTAATATATTTTGTTATTTTCAAAATCGGGTATGATATACCCATAGTTAGTAATGGTGTAACTTTAATTGAGGGTTAGTGTTCTAGGGTTAAAAAAAAAAAATACTTTATGTTATGCATATTTCCTATTTTTTGAAAATTTCCAAGCATATCATAATAATTAGTATTTTAACCTGAAAATGTTATTTATAATCCTTCCATAGTAAATGCATACAACTTTTAGATTTCGATATCTTGTAATAAATGTAAATTTCTGTATCTAATTAAATCGTCTATTTTTTTAACAAGAAATCAGAAATTTCCTTTTTAAAAGCTTAAAAATATATATGAAAATAATCAAAATATTAAATTTTTTTAATAGAGACAAATATTTAAATATGTATCTTTATTATCGGCTTATAAAATTGATTTATTTATACCCGTCCATATTTTAACACTACTGTAATTATTTAGATAACGTAATACTTGACAAACAACATTTTTCATTTTTAAATTTTAGAAAATTTTTAATTAACCGATAACTATGAAAAAATCGATTTTCAATTACTACACTTAAACCGAAGAATGTTTTACCGCACTAATTGAGTATTAATCAAATTTTGATATAAAAAATCAAATGCTCATTAATCGAGGGATCCCTGTCTGTATATTTGTTATAAAATTCAGTCACGTGTGAAACGAAATCACATGTCCAAACACAACCTAATGAAAAACGCTACCAAATTTTGCTCCAAATCAATATCTATCATAATCCTTTTCTGGTAATCATACTTGCATAATGACTGACTATATCATCCCTTGGGGATTTTCATTGCATGTCTAGGATGAAACAATAGTAATATCATATACAATGTATTTACATATTATATATAAAGCTCAAAGTTGTATATTTGTTCGTCTATATGTATATAATTCGAAACTCAGAAAATTAAATATATATAAATAATAACATATTTATATAGGTAAGATGAGAAAGAAAACAAATTGAGTAATTTATTTATATGAGCAAAACGTCAAAAATAATTCAGAAATTAAAATTTAGAGAGTTTATATTTTTCAAAATATACTGTTAAAAATGTCAATATTTTTTTACTTACTCACTGGTTACTTCCCTTTATTCCGAAGCTGAGATTTAAATGCTAAGATCATTACCGCTTTCAAGGTCGAAAATGCTTTATTTGAACAACTAAGCAATCTAATTATTAAAGCCATTATTATTAAACATGTAAACTTAGGTATAATAAACACAAAGAACCAAATTGGAAATGAAAAAGGAAACGTTTTTTCTTAACCATTTCATCCCAGGCAAGGCAATAAAGCCACTAAGACGTAAGGAAATTTACTAATATAATATAAGAAACAAATAACATTATAAAGAAGAGAGAACAATAAAAGAACAAAAATTAAGGAAACAGAAGATGACCATTGACATTGCATTTAAATTTTCGAAGATCAACGTTGACTGGAAAGCAAGAAAGTGGAAGAGAATTCCACAATCGAGAAGTGCGAACGAAGAAACTATTAGCATAGAACTTACGGTTACATCTAGCTATTTCAACTGTAAA